AGACTCAAATAACAGAATAACAGAGTTGGAAGGGACCTTGGGAGGCTCCCAGTCCAACCCCCTGCTCAAGCAGGAAACACTTTTCAGACAAGTGGCTGTCCAGTCTCTTCTTAAAAACTTCCAGTGTCAGAGCACCCACAACTTCTGAAGGCAACTTGTTCCACTGATTACAGGTAGTCCTCAACTTAGAAGAATTCATTTAATGACTGTTTGAAATTACAACAGCACTGAAAAAAGTGACTTATGACCATTTTTCACACATACAACCGTTCCGGCATCCCTATGGTCACATGATCAAAGTTTAGATGCTTGGCAACAAGCATGTAGTTATGACATTGCAGTATCCCGGGGTCATGTGATCACCTTTTGCGACCTTCTGACAAGCAAAGTCAAGGGGGAAGCCAGATTCACCTAACTACTGTCTTACTAACTTAACAAATGCAGTGATTCACTCAACAAATGTGGCAAGAAAATTTGTAAAACGGGGCAAAAGTTGCTTAACAAGTTTCTTGCTTAGCAACATAAATTTTGGGCTCAATTGTGGTTGTAAGTCAAGGACTACCTATAATTGTTCTNTCCTTCTTTTCATTAAACTAAACATACCCAATTCCAGCAACCATTCTTTATATGTTTTAGCCTCCATCCCCTGATCAACATCTCCCAAAGACACTTTGCTCTGCCTATACAGAAAGTGGTTTTTCTAAAAGGACACCATTCTTTGTATTAGTCTTCTCCAAGCTAGTGCTCTCTCTCTCCCAAAACATCCAGCCATCCCAATCCTATCTGGCAGATGCTACGTTTATGAGGGGTGCTCTCTGTCGATGCAGAAAGACAGAGAATTTGCAAATGAACATAGCACCCACCATATCAGCAAATCAAGGAACACTGCAGGTGTCCCTATATTGCTGCATAGAATAAAATGTCACAGTAGAAAATGACATAATAAGGGATAAAGCAACAGAAGGGTTCTCTGCTAAGCATTCTTAGAGGTGTTGTAGCCTGTGTTTCAGCTGGCTTTAAAGAAGGATTAGATCAAAATCTGTGGAGAAGGAGAGAGCTCCGTTAATCCGTTAACAGCTAAATGGAATTCCATATTCCGAGGTAGCCCTTCTCTGTATATAATTTACTTTCATGTCCTGTTTCTACCACTCAGAGGCATTGAGCTTCCTCACAGAGAAAGTAATTTCTTCCTTAACTGCCATCATTCTCCTGCTGGGTGGGAGAGTTGTAATTCAGCATGTTTGAAAATCATTAAGTTGGTAAAGAAAGCCTAAATTTATCCAATGAATGTTATGGCTTGATGAGGATGGTCCAACTGTTCCTCACCAGCTTTTCTACACATAATACTCTCCTGCTCTTATTGTGCTTCCTACTGTAATACTTAGCCAATCAAACCTTCATGTGGAAATAAAAATATTTTTTTAATTTATATTTATTTATCGTATTTAGAAACAACCCATCTCCCTTATAGAGGAAGACACGTGCACATTTAAATATTAGACTCTAGATCAGTTTTTCTCTGTCAATTTTAAAATGCAGATTTCAACTCCCAGAACTCCCCAGCCATCTGCGTCACATAGATACAATGAAGTTGGTCATTGCCTTCCTACCCTCTGTTTCAGCTTCCAGGGTGCAGTTTAATCAAAGCCAAGAAAGAAGAAATCGGATAAAATGGATTTTTGATTTGATTCAGATAAGCTCGTTTTATTAACCATGATGGTAAAGAATGAAACTCTCTATCTCTGCCCTATCCTCAAACAGTTCTTGGTTTGGGGAAGCCACAGAAAGTCAGCATTGCCTCCTGACATTGCTAGTGGAGATATCAGTTCTCCTTTGTGGAAAATAAGGCAATGTATGATAGAAAACCTTTGGTGTCATCCAGCAGAGTCTTTTCAATTTTCCCCCTAGAGCCAAGGAAAGCCAGAGGGAAGCAGTGGGGTCAAATGCAGACAAAATCTAAGCTGTGTCCAGACAAGGTTAATCAGCTCAAATAAAAGGCCTTCTGGCTGCATTTGCACTCCATGCTAAGTTTGTCTAGGGTCAACTCTGTTCTGTGCAAATCCAGTCTGCTTGGTTAGTTTACAGTTCAATGTATTCTATGGACTCAAAAAACAAATAGATTTAGAAACTAGGTTACACATGTAATGTGAATGAGAAGAGGAATGTGCTGCTCAGTTAAATTTTCTGTATAGTGTGTCCTTTATAACCAGAACATTTTACAATCCAAAAAATTCTACATGTTATGTCCTGATTCTTCTGAGGAACAGAAACCCAATGAGGAGCACCGATGCACCCTTACCCTCTCGATTGTCCCATCGCTCCCCACTCGCTCCACTACTCTGTTCAGCCTCTTCCCAGAAAGCAGGCTGAGAGTTGAAATGTCACGACAATCAAAAACTTTGATGTTCAAACTTCTAAAAAGGAGCAAGCTAAAGGATTTGAAAGCCAGTATTCCGAAGTCATTTTCCTTTTCCACTGCTGTAAGATTTGATCGGAATGTTTTCTTAAAAGGTGATGGTAATCACTTTAAATTCATCGCCCACTTTAATCTTTCAAGGCTGAATTTAATCTGCAGCCTGAGAGTGAGCCAGCCAGCCAGATTCCTCCTGGTTCATGGCCAACCTCTTCATCTCCTTACAGCTAAAAATACCTAATGAACATAAATTCTGGCATGTGCTGGACCAGTATCACAGCAAATTTCCCAGGTCTGTAGAATAGCAGGAGCAAGAAAATGCTTCATCTATTCAATTACAACCCACAGACTCTAAAGGTCACAACATGAAACAAAAATTCTCTCCTCCCTTAACAGAATAACAGAATTGGAAGGGACCTTGGGGGGTCTTCTAATCCAACCCCCTGCTCATCCACAAGACCCTATACCATTTCAAACAAATGGCTGTCCAATCTCTTCTTTAAAACCTTCAGTGATGGAGCATCCACAACTTCTGAAGGCAAGCCATTCCATTGGTTAATTGTTCTCACCGTTAGGAAATTTCTCCTTAGTTCTAGGTTGCTTCTCTCTTTGATTAGTTTCCATCCATTGTTTTTTGTCTTGCCTTCTGGTGCTTTGGAAAATAGGTTGGCCCCCTCTTCTTTGTGGCAGCTCCTCAAATATTGGAAAACTGCTATCAGTCCTTCTTTTTACTAAGCTAAACATACCCAATTCCTGCAACCATTCGTCATATGTTTTACCCTCCAGCCTTCTAATCATCTTTGTTGCTCTTTTCCACACTTTCCACATTTTTATAATGTGATCAAAACTGGATGCAGTATTCTAAGTGTGGTCTTACTAAGGCTTTATAAATCCCATGATCTTGATTCTGTCCCTCTATTAATGCAACCTAGGATTGCATTGGCTTTTTTGGCTACTGCCGTACACTGCTGGCTCATATTTATGTGATTGTCCACTTGGATTCTGAGATCCTTCTCACATATACTGCTACTGAGCCATGTTTCACCTAATCTTTACCTGTACATTTGGTTTAAAACCTTATTTTTCTCTATACTGAATTTAATTTTGTTAGATAGGACCCAGTGTTCAAAGTCTTTCAAGATCCACCTGGATCTTGAGCCTATCTTCTGCCTGCCAGTTTAGTAGGTTTGATGAGTTCCCCTTTTGTTACCTCATCTAAATCATTTATGAAGTTGTTGAAGAGTACTGGCCCTAAAATGGAACTTTGGAGTACCCCACTGCTTACTTCTCTCCTTGTAGATGTAGTTCCATTGCGGTCTACACATTGAGTGTGATTTGAGTACTACTACTCCTCTTCTTCCTCTTCTTCTCCTTCTCCTTCTTTTTTTCTTGCTGGTAGTTTTATTATTGTGATTATTTATTATTGTGCTTATGCCTATTACTGTTATTTCAATTTATAACCTAACTTTTTTCTTAAGACCCAAGATCGTATATCTGGTTCTGTGGTCACTTTATCTTCACCATTATTTGGTGGAGTGGGCTGAACTGATAAACAGTAATTTGCCAAAAATTATTCAGGGAACTGGGCTGGAAGGAGAGGAGCCCAGTCCAAACCAATAAGGAAAACTCTATCCCCTACCACCCTCACCATTCAATACATCAGAGATTCAAACCGAGATCTCTCTGCATGTTCTCAAATCCCTCCCAAAAACCCATCCCTAAGATCTATTCACTGTAGCAGCTGAGTGGATCCCTGGCCATGTCACTGCATTTACTTAAAACAAAAACTAAGCTTCTAGCCCTCACGGTTTTGAAGACTGACTCAAAAGGAATCACACTGATGAGAACATACATTTAGATACTTTTTATATATAAAAAGACTCCCTATTAATCTCAAAAATAGATGTGGCAAACACAGGGCCAGATTATTGCATCTCCCTCCACAAATAGCTTACATTTTAATTCTGGTGCTTGCAGAACCAGATTCTAATTCTAGGCTGGGTGTTTCTGAGGTCTGCTTAGCATCAAGGCTGTCCGTCTCCTCCCTACCAGCTTCCCAGCTTTCATTTCCATATATCTCAGAGTCAGAGAAATTGAAGCTATTCATCTGGGCTCTTTCCTCCTTGAGGAACTCAGCATGAAACAAGCCCACTACAAAGACTTTTCAGCCATTCTCCAAGAAGATTTCTCTTACAGAGAAACTCAGCTTTTGATCCATGCCTTAGGTTTCACATTCCGTCAAAGATAGCTTTTATTATTTTTTAAAGCTCTGCTCAGGCTGTGAGTTGGGGCTTGTCCTAGTTTCTGCAAATCTCAGAGAAAGTCCCAGGTATTGCATCAGCCTTGCCTTCATCTCTGGGGAAGTGCTAAATTTTGCCCCTTCCCCAAATCAACAACTTTCCGACATACTGAACTTCAGTTCACAGGAGCTGCTGGGGACTTTCATTCCCCAAAGACTCTTTGAAATCTTTTTCATCCTGAATTACAAATATGCTTACATTTCAGGGGGAAAGGGGGCACATTTTCTAAGATCGTACAGCTCAGAAAATGGGTAAATGGAGCAGAATCTTAAAATTCAGAGACTTACCTGGGCAAAATTCCACCAATCCACGCAACTTCAACAGTTGAAGTGGAGTGTTTGCTGCCTGTCTGAAATTCTGAATTCACAAGCCACTCGTGGTGACTGGATCTGGTTTTGAGCAGGTTCACCCCTTTTTTGGCCTTCACCCTGCCAAGCAACAAGAAAGAGAGAGCAACATCTTTTTCTCAAGGACCCTCAACTTAGGTCCCTCCATTCTCTCCCTCTGCATTTCCTTGGGCATAACACTCAACTGCCCAACAACATCAGCTTATTAAACTGAAAAGAAAATCACATTTGGAGTTGGCTATAAAGTTGTTGTGCCATTGTTGTTACGGCACCTGAATTCTTGGAAAGAGCTGCCATCTCAGGATGTTCACAAGATGGCAATCTTCAGGCAGTCCTCAACTTATGACCGTTAATGGAGCCTGCCCATCACATTCATAAGTTATGATGGCCATAAATCGGGATATCCATGTTACTGACTTTATAATTTTTTGTAGTAATCATTAAGTGAACGTCATGATCATTAAGCAAACCAATGATTTGCTATGGGCCGGAATGGCCGAAAACCAGAAATAAACACCAATTTTCAGCAAAACTGTTGTAAAATGTGGTCACATGACTATGGGATGCTGCAAATGGACATAAATACAAAATGGTTGCTGAGTGCCTGACATGTGGTCATGTGATCACAGGAGTGGTGGGGGGGTGGCCATCAGAACTTTGGAACCAGGTTGTTAAGCTAAGTCACTGGTCATAAGTCAAGGATTACCTGTACATGCCTTTGGTGTCATCAAGTGGTCATCTATATTTCTGCAACCCTGCATATAGTACACAATTATTGGAACACCCTCCTAATTCTTATACATCAAATTTTGTTTTTTTTCAGGATTTGAAAGAGATATAATCCCAGCCTCATTTGGGATGCTCATGTCCACTGTTAAGTTCACAACTTATAGTGCCTTATAATTTATTTGTTTAGAATTTTTAACATTTGTAACAAACTTCTTCATGCTTTATTTAATGGAAAAACTGGGGTGTATATAAATTGACTCACGAATCAAACCAAAACAAAGACCCTAACCGCATTTGGGTATCCTGATGGGGAAAACTTGAAGATAAATTCTTGCCAAAAGCCCAACACTGTCATAGAAGTAATCATGAATAAATAATATAATCTATCTGCATCTACTTATGAGCCTCTGAATTTCTGTGTTTAGAATATGAATTGTTTATGTCGTTTCTGGCTTACACTTTCTTCCATGTAGGGTTAAGTGAATGCCTAAATGTCACAGAAACTATATTAGGTACTGAAGAAAATTGACTTATTTAACAAAAGTAACAAAAGACAGAGAGCAGAATTTGCACAGCAAAGCTGCAAAGTACTTTTTGGCACTTCTCTCCCCCAACCTCCCACCTGCTGCCTAAAACATCCAGGCTCCAGATTGCTCATTTTTGGTCTACAAGATAGTGACTGCTATGGACTTTGTTAGAGGTCTGTATATAAGAACCTTTCACACCTTTCCAGGATGCTCCTGTGAGAGGTTGCAAGGAGACTCAGAAATAAAAGGCAGAAACTAGTCATAAACAAGCAACAGATGGGAAATGACTTTGATAGTAATTTATAAACGACAGCTTGCAAAAAGCACAGGAAAAACAGATTCAAATACTCAAAGAGACTCTGCTTTAATGAATTCACTAATAAAAGAGGGCTGGAGCTTCCTACTGCAGTTTTCCAAGATTTCAAAATGAGGGATCCCTGGCGCTGTCTGAGCTTGGTCGTTTTCTTGCAGGTGCTTCATTACCAACCTAAGTAATACCATCAGTGTTAGCACCTGAGAGAGCACCAAGGACCCCTCATTTCAACCCTGAGCGATGAATCTTTTCTATCAATTCCAAAATGAATTGTTTCACTAAAACTCCTTATTCAAGTCTTAGGTAATCTTGTTTCTGTGTTCTGTGTTCTGATGCCACCACGCCAACAGCAATGAAGAGCTGTGCTGTGGACCCTTTAACAACCCCTGGCCCCTGCAGTGCTTACCTAAGCATGAAGTGCTCAACCGTTGAGTTGCCCATTAGGTACAGGGTGACACTGAGCACCTCGCCTGGTTTGAGAGGTTTCTCAGGCAGTCGGATGAAGATGCTGTCATCCAGTCGCTGCTCCTGCAAGGGCTGGGTGGGCGGTGGCTGAACCAGCCTCAGACTGCCAATGCGCAGGAGAGGATGTTGGGTGGGACCTTCGATCCGCGCACCGGCCCCACCTCTCCGTCCCATCGGTTCGCTCCCACACTCCCCCATTGCATCGGGGGCATGAAGCGTGTAATAGAGTTCTACTTGCTGTACATCTCCAGCTGATTCAATGTCCTCCACCATTTTCCTCCTCCCCAGGGGGACAGCAGCAGGTCCAAACCAAGCCTGAGGCAGCTCAGCTTGGGCTAGGCAGGTGGCCAGGCTACCCCGAAGGCGGCAAGAGGCCCGGACCTCACGGGCCTCACGGAAGGCGTGGAGTCGTACACAGGGCAGCCGCTCGGTCACGTCAAAATCATCCCAGTCACGTCCGGCCACATAGAATAGCACTTGGGCTGTGGGTTGGTTGGCTGGCACCCGCGTGCCAACAATGAAGGCCCGTACTTTCCAGTTCACTGTCAGGCGTTCTGGTATCTCCAGAGTGCTTGATGGCTGCAGCAGCTCCTTGGGTAACACCAGGCCTGAGTTGAACGGTCCCAAAGAGATGTTGAGCACAGGTAGTTTCTTGGTTTGGAACACAACAAAAGGCTCCGACCGGGTCAAGCCAAGGGTATTGCTTCCTCTTGGTACCGGCCGTGTCTCTCTCAGAAAGAATGCCAAGCGGGTGTTGGAAAGATTGTAACTGACTGGAAGAACAGCAGCAGCAGGAGGTTGGGAGGCCTCTGGGGCTTCTGAGCTTGTAGGGGGGACTTTGGCCTGAGCTGAAAAACAAGAGAGAAAAAATAGCATTGGCTGTTAGTATTGACCATCTTTTAAACACTCCCCATCCCCTAGAAGAGGGGTGGGGAATTCCTGACTCAGAAATTCTGGGAGTTGAAAAATCCACAAGTCATAAAGGGACCATAGTTCCCCATCTCTGCCATAGAAGGTGCCATAACAAGTAAATCTAATCCTGGAGTTTCAGTCCTTTACATCAATTGAAGAATTCCATCTAGTCCTTAAGTAATACTTCACAGTTGGTTATTACATGATTTGATGCAATGTTTGTATTATACCCCACAAGCATCATGTGTTAGAAAAAGGACAGTGTTTCTCAACCTTGGCAACTTTAAGATGTGTGGATTTCAACTCCCCAAATTCCCCAGCCAGCATGCTGGAAATTAAAGTCCACTCATCTTGAAAATTGCTATGGTTGAAAGAATATTGAAGGTTATTGAAGGGTTTTTTTTAAAAAAAAGGAGAAAAGGAAATGTATTTAGACCTATTCAAAGAGTCCAAGGAAATGAGCACCTGCTATTCTCTGATTTTTCTTAAGACAACAATGCTGTGGGATAGGCTTAGATATAGTGACTGGCCCCAAGTCATCCAATAAACTCCCTTGACTAAGGCAGAACAAACATTAAATTTCTTCAGTCCAAATCCAACACCCTAAATTTATCCCACACATGCTCTTCTTTACTATTCTTCCATTCCCAACTTTTCCTGCTACAGGGAAAGCTAATCCATTTACTTCTATCTTCACACTGTTAACCTTTCATTACAACATCCTCTGATTAACAAAACACTCATCAAGTATCTTAAGACCACAAGTCCCAAATTTCTCAGGCCAATATGGAAATTCTGAACAACAAAAATCATTTTCTGCACAAAGAAAAATCTCAATTGTATGGATCAGTTGAAAGAAGGAATGTCTGTTATACCTAAACATGCATTAAATCCAATTTGATATAACTTCATTTGCATCCATTCATATCAATAGCATAGTTTAATTACATAATTTACTTGAGTTGATACAAGTGAAGTCAATTATGTAATGATGCAAATAACGTAAATTAATACTGACATAAATTATTCCAATTGCTCAGATTGTTTTGGAAACAGTTGGCGTCTGTTATTTGAGAGTGAATATCGACTAATTTGACCTTGAAATCTACTTCATAGGCAGACACCCACAATTTATCTTCCCTATGTTTCCTACCTGTCCTACTGGGACTGACAAGAGGGGCACGCGCTGGGTCCCATCAGCTAAGTAGCGTTGGCTAGCCAAGTAGCCAAAGAAGGAGAGTCTTTTCTGCCATTGCATCCATCCTACGGAACATCATTTTGTCTGAAGTCAGATGGCCAGAATGCTGTTGGCCTTTCGTAAGCCTTGAAAACTTGGTTTCATGCCCGGGCCTGGAACCCAAAGGGTATGTTGGAACTGGTCTCTTGGCGTTGATGGTGGTTTTTACAGTGCTTGGCTGCTGTGTGTTTTTATTTTTACATTATGTATTTATTTATTTTATTGTGAGCCCTTTCCAGTCACATATTTGAGATGGGTGGCTGTATACAGGTAGTCCTTGACTTACGACGAGTCATTTTAGTGAATGTTCAAAGTTAGGACACATCCCCAAATGGGACTTATGATGTCTGTCTCTTCATCACATCACCGCATTTTAGGCACTTGGCAAATTTACGGCCGTTTGCAGCGCCCTGTTTTTGCCAGAAACTGGCATTTACTTGTAGTTTCTGGCAACAACCATCTCATAGCGAACAATGTGCTTGCTTAACAACAGCTGCAAAAAAGGTCATAAAATGAGGTCATGACCATCTTTACGACTTTACGACCATCATGACTTATGATCAAAATTGTGGGTTCAATTACAAATATAAGTCAAGGACTACCTGTAGATCGAATAAACAAACAAACAGCTAGGAGTGAATAATGCTGAAATAAAACATTTAACCTGTGTATGGAACTGCAGTAAGGTGATGGTGTACATACTCCTGAGAAGGTCAGGCTATTCCACAAAATAGGAGTGGAATACATCCCATAGCTCTCATACAGAGGAAGGTTGTTCAGAAGGCGTTATCCAGAAGACTGGACTAAATGGACAGATTCAATTTATATATTTCAACATACTGTTTCCCATTCGTGAATGCCCTCCAGAAGGCTAGAGTCCATCATATTGTTTGGAGCTGAGGCAGACAGGTGAAAGGATTTTCTCGTCTTTCCCCCCTGGTTAAAGGTTGGGTCTTTTTAAAATTAGGACGATTTATTTATTATTTATTTATTATTTAAATTTATATACCGCCCTATCTCCCTTACGGGACTCAGGGCGGTGAACAGGCAATAATAAAAATCACAATAAATATTGAATAAAAAGCCTGCTCTAAAATACCCCATATAAAACCCCTAGCAAAGCCCAATCAAAACTACGCCAGGCCGGCCGCATGGAATAGATGGGTTTTCAAGGCTCGGCAGAAGAGGTGCAGGTCCGTAGTTGTACGTAGGTCGGGGGGTAGGTCATTCCAGAGGGTAGGAGCTGCCACAGAGAAGGCTCTCCCCCTGGGGGTCGCCAGCCGGCATTGACTGGCCGACGGCACCCTAAGGAGGCCCTCTCTGTGGGAGCGGACTGGTCGAAGGGAGATATTTGGTAGGAGGCGGTTTCAGGGGCTTACCCTACAATTTTCAAGGCGGTTTCAGGGGCTTACCCTACAATTTGGTAGATTTCCCACTTCAGAAAACGGGGGCGGCATGGTGGCTCAGCGGCGGTTAAGAAGCTGGGATTGTCAGCTGGAAAGCCAGCAGCCCAAGTTTGAGACCCGAGCTTCACACGACGGGGTGAGCTCCTGTCCTTACCCCAGCTCTTGCCCACCTAGCAGTTCAAAAGCATACAAATGCAAGTAGATAAATAGGTACCAGTTCAGTGGGAAGGTAACAGTGCTCCGTGACATCATGCTGGCCTCATGACCATAGAAATGTCTTCAGACAGCACTGGCTCAATGGCCTTAAAAGAGAGATGAGCACTGCCCCCTATAAGCAGCAACAACTAGTGGAGTAAAATCCGCAGGGCCCCTTTACTCACTTCAGAATGTCAGAAAACTTCATCATTGATTTTGGACAACTGGGATCAAATGGGGCTTCAAGAAGTCACAAAATGGGGGAACATGTGGGAGAAACATGTATATCTGACCCTGAGGTCGCTGTTTATCTATCCTCCAGTACAAAATAGTCCTCCAGAATCTGGCCTGTGGCGACTCCACTCTAAACATTTTTCGCTACCTTATTATCAAAGCATTATTGGCCTCCTCCTCTCTATGCTAGCACCAGGGGCCTCGTTTTGATCACCAAGTGACTGTGTGTTCGTAGGAGGCTCAGATTATCTCTGGGGCTAGAAGAAGCCATGGAGAATGGTCCACTAACTGGCACCTTTCACCATTCAAGTGCCGGAAGCAGCTGCACAAGGGAGGACTTAGCTTGCCCTCCCTGATCTCCATCCTCAGAGGAAAAATTAGAGCTATTAATATGCAAACACCTTCATTAACCCTCCTAAATGCATGCAGATTGTGTCCTTCAATCAGCGGCTCTTGGTACAACAGAGATGGTGGCTGCATATTTATAGCTCCTGTCAAGAGGAAACAAGTATTTGTGTTTGAACAGAACTCAGGGATTCCTACCCCTGAATCCAATACTGGCACTGAAGGGTTCCAGTTCACAGATGGGAACACAAAATATTTTGGTGCTAGAAGCCAAAATCTTTTTTAAAAGGTTTTCCATGCTGTTAAAAATTAGTGGCATTTTTAATGAGAGACGGAGAATCTGTAAAACTATAATAATGTTACATTTCAACTCCTATCAGATTCAGCCAGCATAGCCACACAGTCACACTGTGACTTTGGTCAGAGCCACTTTAAGACTTAATTTGAGAGCCAGTTTGGTCTAGTGCAGTGATGGCGAACCTTTTAGAGACCGAGTGCCCAAACTGCAACCCCAAACCCACTTATGTATCATCAGGTGCTGGGTGGGCGTGGCCCATTGGGTGGGTGTGACCCATTGGGTGGGCATGGCTGTGGTGGTAACGGCAGACTAGGTAGGACTAAAAAGTTCAATCAATCAATTCCAACTTTGCAAGATCTTTTTTTTTTTCCCGAGAAGTTGAAATTGATTGATTGATTAAACCGGGTTTTTTTGCACACGGTGACAGAGGCCTAAAGCGAAAAGGTTTTATAAAACCCAGCTGAAGGCCTAGGACTGGGGTGACAGCATGCGTGCCCACAGAGAGGGCACTGCATGCCACCTGTGGCATGCGTGCCATAGGTTCGCCACCACAGGTCTAGTGGTTAAGGCACCAGGCTAGAAACCAGGAGACCGTGAGTTCTAGTCTGACCTTTGGCATGAAAGCCAACTAAGTGACTTTGGGCCAATCACTCTCTCTCAGCCCAATGCACCTTACAGAGTTGTTATTGTGGGGAAAATAAGAGGAGGGGAAAAAAAGTACTATTTTGTTCATTGCCTTGAGTTACTTATCAAGTAACAAAAGCGGGATCAGATAAATAAATAAATGCACCTTGCCTTCAAGGGCCATTTTTAAGTAGTAAACCAGCAGGAAAGAAACCTACATTGTCACAGAAGGCAAGTCTAGAAGAAAATAGTTGGCACTGGGGGTGAAAATGAGGTCAATTTTACTCCCAAACCCACTTAAATAAAAGATAACTGAGCAATGCTAATTGGTTTGGCTTCCATGTATCCAAGCATTTTCTCTTCTTTTCATATTCCACAGAATACCAATTTCTGGAGTAACTTTATGTATTTATTTTGTGATTCAATTTTCATCCACTCTCTCTCTGTGCAGCTAAACTACCCCAGCATATTCAGTTTGTACTTGTTATTTACTTTTTTATTCCATCTACACTGCTGACCTTATTTCTTCTAGCTTTAGTGCAGCCACTTTGTTAGGCATCCCATTCCAAAAGCATTCAATTTACTATTGCGCTCTTC